GCAAAAGCAATCAGACGTGCTATTTATTTGTATTAGTCTGGGGCATTTAGGTTGCCAGTCAAAGTTGTATAAGAATATAAAAATGTTGAAGGAAAAACTGTATTTTTCTACTTTTGTCTATTCAGTACTTCTGATTTTTTTAGCATTCTTGTTTTCAACTTCTCAATGTATGATACAAATGTGTCTTCTATGTTTACTAGGTCATAAAGTAGTTTTAAAATGCAGAATTATAAGTTGCAGAGTATTTTTACAATGTGGTTTTGGTACTATTGCTTTTTTTTGGTTGCCAGTAACACTAACAAATACAAGAATATAAAAATGGGGGAAAGCAGTTTAAGTCAATTGTGGTTTACTTTAGTATTTCCATTGTGTGCTACTTTATTTCTATTTCACCTTGTACTTGTGATTTTATAGCATTAATGTTTCTTCTTTCTATGTTAAGCATACTTGTCCTCATTTATCTTCTGCATTTATTCAAAACACTTTTCTTCTATGTTTACATAAAGGTCATAAAATAGAAAATCAAATGGTTTTAAAATGCACAATTAGGAGTTGTAACTTAGTGTTTTTACATTGTGGTTTTGTACTTTTCCTAATGTAAAGGATGGATTCTCTGAGAGACCTTTATCAAACACTACCATTTAAAATCCCTGTGTACATTTGTCACATTAAAGTCCAGTGAGAAGACAAATGGATGCCTTAATTACCTGATAAACACACAAATGAGACAGGAAGTGTAGAGCCAAGGGAGACAGAAAAGAAATGCAGACAGCTTCAATATGACTCACTATGCGACAAAATAAAACAGAGAGGAAACACTTGAATAGAAATAATATAAAAGAAGTGAGATTGTTGCCCATATTAAAGAAATTGCAGATTATTACATTTGTGTGCAAACAATAATATCTAGGTGTGTATTCAGGGTTATACACAGGGCAGAGAGCCGTTCACTGGAAGGTAACCCGGCTCACTCATACATGTTGAAGTCGCTGTTCACCTGGTTGCTTTGTTACACTCATGAATGGTGCCGAGCTGCTGAGTGTATTCGGCCTTTGTTGCGTTGGTTTGCTTTGTGTATCTGAGGCTTTGTGTGGGTGTTGATATTTGTTTGGGTGCATGTGGACAGCCTATCTGTACAGATATATTAATATATATCCAAACACAAATATACAAAGGTGATTGCAGACCCAGTCGGTCTGGCTGTAATAATAAGTTCAAATAGAAATATGTATTTCCCCGGCATTAATGCATTGTTGTTTGGGATGAAAGCATCTTTTCACACATTCACAGACCACATTACCTCTGAGTTTAGAAAGAGAAAAAGAAAACAGATGTACGAATGCAAAACAGAAATATCTACGGTATAAGGCTTAATCATTTTATCAGCACAATTTACCCATTGAGACTTTTGTCCATGACCAAAGGTGTTATCCTCTCTCTTTTACCTCACTCCCCGATCTCCACAACCTTTACAAAGCCCAGATCTTATGAAATATGTTAACGAGAATAAACCACTTAAATGTCAGAAAGGGAAAGAGGCCATATTCCTCCTACATTATTCAATACAGAGCCATCGCTGTCATAGCAGTGTTTGTATCTGGCTGAGACGTGGGTTTAGAAAGTAGATTATGTGAAGCTTATGTAAGGTGCTTCACACCAAACTAAAAAACATTCTGTTAATCAGGATGCCTTCTGGCATTGGTGGAAACTGTGACAAATACAAACACTTATGTAAAGAACCAAACTTTGGTTTTCGTTTCCGAGCTGGAAGACGGAGGAACAAACGGAGGAACAAAGTAAAAGAACAGAATGGGGAACATTGTGACCAAAGATAAAAATTAATGGGGCAACAAGCTTACCTTCTGTCTTTCTTTATCAACCTGAATCTATAGTGAACAGCAACATTTAGTGAAGACCAGCAGACTGCAAAGCATGAAAGCAGAATGTTTACTATCTCCCTGTATGCCTCCGAGCACTTCACCTTTGTTGTTCCATACTGTGATTACATTTCCTCCTATTTCCTGACCATTTTTCGAGCAGGACAAGAGACAGGGTGAATGCTAAATCACAATTTAAAATAAACTGAGAATTTATGATCCAGCAGAGGACGTAAAGAAAATTGTTTCAGTCAGCCACAGGGAAAATAGGGAATGGTGTGTGGGGGATACAGTAGCCTGCACAAAGCTGTTTCATCCCACAAAATATCAAATATTTAGAGTTAAAGAGATGACGGGGATGAGCAAACTGTCTAAGTAGCAGGGGGGAAGTCATGTTGTTTCAGTAGGAGTGGTGGTAGACGACAGACAAAAGAGGATGGGCTGAGAGTAGCAAGCTGTAGTCGTGCAATATGTTAAAGCTTACATAATTATTTAATTTCTAGTTAACTCTGATTTACATATGGTGTGATCCTACAGGCTACGGTGCAAAAAGAGCTGGAGTGTCATTTTTGATAAAGCCAAGAGCTACAGATAACAGCAGGGCTTCATCAAAGACTTGTCAAAACTCAATTTAGTTTTGATGCCTCCCCTTTGAAGGAGACTTCATTGCCCATGGCATCAGATAATACAGAACATGTTTAAGGCTGAGTGGAGAGAAGACTCTGCAGTTTTCTGATTACTATATTGAAAGCAGTCGATGTATGCCTTTTATTTTCACAACATTTTAAAGATGTTTGATACTGGATCGTGTATTTTTCCCCACCAAACATAAGAAAAGGAGCAGGCTTTACATACATAACATCGGCCCACCAGCCTCTCTAGGAGTCATTTAGTGTGACATGCCAGAGGGGGGCTGCAGCTTCCTGGCAGACTTCTTCCTCTCCAGACAGGAAGCTGGTTGAGCTGAAAGCCCCTAGGAAGTGTTACTGACAGATTGTAGCGAAAAGAATGACTCAACAACCTGCAGCAATTTAAAGAAACTGGGAACACAAAACTGACAAGTATTGTGAAAAGAAGTGGATATGCACGAGAATTCCATGAAGAATTAAGTAAAAACTGCTGTGATGGCCGTCACCTCCGCCGGTTGGACTGCCAACGCAAGTCCTACCAATTCCTAACAACTCCTAACAGTTCCTAACAAAGTCCTAACAGTTCCTAACAAAGTCCTAACACTTTTCCGACCCAAGTCCTAACAGGTCCTAACCGACCAATGACAGGGCAGCTACACCTACACGTGACATGGGTGGGGCAAAAACGTCACATGGGTGGGACAAAAGGTTCGCACCTTACCCTCCCACCTCCCTCTCCATCACCGAACGACGAAGAAGAAGAAGAAGAAAAGAAAAACAGGTAATAACAATGAATTTTTATTAATTACACGATAATACTCTATCTGAAAGCTGGCCATGATATCTTCATCCGGGCATGTTATGGTAATAGTTGTCATCCTGTTTAGTCCGAGATTCCGCCGCATCCGTCCCGTTGTTAAAGTTAGCTCATGCTAACGCTGTAACGTTTTATATCTGTCTGACATTTATAAACCGGTCATAATTATTGTAGCATTGATGGGTTGGGGTTAAATTGGGCCGGGGCTGTCCGGGGCTAAGCCCCGGTAAATAGGACGATGCTCTGACGTCATCACCCTCGCAAGTTTGTCATATACAAAAAACGATATGTTAAAACTTTTCTCGTTCTTAATATAGATTATATTTAGGGTCGATATGTGTTGACTTTAGTTTAAAATAGCAGATCTCTGTGACCGGATATAGTTTTTCGGCTTAGTGAACGTGTGTCTCTGCTCTGATCAGGAGCCCGCAGCCCCCTCCCCCGCTCGGACTCCGCCGCGAAACCACCCAACTCATTCTGTAACACGGAGGCTTTTTCCTAAACCATGCTAAATGTATGTGTGTGCATAAAGCCGAGTTATGATCGGTCATAATAACACCGAATTTGGGGATGATTCAATCGTTTACAGTGAAATGTACAGCATACTTTAGTTTTGGCCATAATCTCGCAGCCCTACAAATTAACTGAGATTTCCACAAAAATGTTCTTTAGCAAGTGTGCAGAGCAATTTTGATTTAAAATAGCAATTTGAAGGATGGATATTTGTAAACACTTCTTTTTATACATTAATAATTTAAGATGTAAATTATTTCCAATTTATTTGTAATACTTTCTATTTTTATTGTGTCATTTGNGTAGCTGTAGTTAACATTTCATATTTAAGACGAGAATGCAGACGGAAAAAGCCTCTCAACTAGAGTGAACATATGTACTAAAACATTGTTTCCTTTTTGTAGACAACAAATAATGTCTTTTATTTGTTCATACATTTTAGCTTATCCTTCTTCAGTGAAGGCCTTTTAAAGTTTTAGTTGAAAAGAGAAGTTAGATGATGTCAGTAGTAAACACTTCAGGTTGCTTTATTTATTTAAGTAGGTTTGTTCCCTGTACACATAAAGAGCTCTATCAGTTTCACTATGTTAGTCTTGTCTAAAAGTTTATTCCTTCACATGTAGTTCAAAGCATTAGCTATATCCAGTCCTGAATATTTCTCCACCTCACACCATGTACCTTATTTATCGTACGCATATGAATTATAGTCACTACAGTCCTTAGTCTCGTAACAACCACTCTAAGGGCTGGGGTCTCACCTAGGATAATTAAGGTTGGCTTTCAAGCTCCCTGTTGAAAAGCAAAGGGTTTGTACTTTCATCACGGCCAGAGGGAGGCACTGTGGGCCCATCAGACACAGAACCCAGAGCTGATAAGGCCAACAATATCCCACATGAGGGCATGAGGGTAATGGCACACACGGAGCAACCACACCTGTTACCATGCCTTAATGACCGAACATAAGAAAATAATATCATCTCCTCTATAGGTCTGTTTATATTAGTTAGGGTTTAAAACCATTAGGGATATTAAACTGAAAAATAAGCCAATCATATGAAAGTATCCACCTTCAGGAATGTGAGCTGGATTTATAGAGAAATACAAGCCTCTTTTACGCTTGTCACCTCTTGACTTCCCCGTCAGTCGAAGTCTGAAAGCCATGGAAATATTGGCAAGCCAGTTCAGCTTGAGAACTATAGATTCGACACAATCTCTTACCCAGTTTTACGTTGAAAAGGAACGAATGAAGGGATTAAATTGAAAAAGTGTGTTTTAGTCCTTTTTTCCCCCGCCACCAATCTTTCGGGGCCATGACAGGGCCCTTCAGCAGCTCAAGTCATTTGATGTGATCAAAGTCTCGGTTTCCCTTGAGCTGAGGTGAAGATGAAGTCCCTGCGGTCGGTGTGAAACCACAGGAAGGAGCGCGGGGACTGGATGTACCTTCCTGAAGCGGTCAAAGAGTTTTTCTATCTCCCACATGTAGATCTGCGAGAAGGGTAATTCTCCTCCCAGAGCATGTGAACGCTCTTTTGAAAAAAAAGGCTGGAGATCATGGAGCCTCGGAGGCAGGCCTGGATCTCTGTAAACTGTTTGGTACCCCAACGAAGATTTTGGAGTCACCACTAGCGCGTCATGCCAGGTAGAGTTCCTCCCTGATCGGAAGTGCTTCCGTCAATCGTCCTCCATGTGAGGGATCTCCTCCCTGCAGGACAAACTTCTGGTTGCTCCGGCTCCACTGGTATATCACAGGCACCTGCGAGCGGCTCGCCAAGATAAGGTGCGCCTTCCCATCCAAGTCCAGGAACTCTGCGTCTGTGTCGCGGTACCACTCATGCAGCGACTGGTAGGAATAAAAGCCCTTATCGTTCCACTTGTAGAGGGTGGACAGGCCTGCTTTTGAACTGTCAGCAATCACAAAGAACCAGTCAGAGCCCACCTGGAACGCCTCAATGTCATTGGGCTTGGAGATCTTGGACACCTCTATGTCCTGAAACCTGCTGAAGCTGCTTTGGTCCTCATCAAACTTGTAGATGTGGGAGCCACCAAACAGCTGAGCCACGATGACAAACACCTGGTCCTGGATGACCACTGACTTGCAACCCACAATGGACTGACCTGAAAGGCAGAGAAAATAAAATAAACGGGCCAATACCAAATATTAAAAGGTTGTTATTGAAAAACAATTTCAATCTTCCCCAGCTCACTACTGGCTGGACAGAGGGATTTTAGGATATTTCTTTGTATCATTCCATAGATCAGTAAAAACTGTAAACAATGGGAATGAAACTGGTGTACGTGCTACTGAATCTACAAACACAAAAACGCAGTAAGAAAAACACTTAAATGTGTATTTTAGATTTGTTTTCCTTTTCAAAATTCAGAAAGAAGACAAAATGTCCGACATGTTATGAAGCAAAATGGCCCAAACTCTCAAAATGTAACAACAGCATCCACAGTTAAAACATTGGCCGTACCTGTGATGTTATCATAAGTCCTGAAGTTCATTTCTATGTGGTCCCACTGGAAAACCATACAGCTCTCTGCGCTGGGAGCAGCTATCGTCACATAGACGTCGTTCTTATAGCTGAATGTGTCCACAGACAGAGACTCAGATGCCAGGGACTGATGGAGGACGAAATCTGCAGAAAAGGCACATTCTGAATTTAGTAACCCCACACTTTTGCCTCCTCTTTACACTTGATGGGATGACCTGGTCGAGGGGCCTGATGCCAGTTAGAACAGAGACAAGGCCATCTGGCTCAGGTGTTTCTCACCCGTTGAGACGCACTCGTTGTGCAGGCTGGTCATATCATTGAGGCGCTTGTCCTTCATGTCCTCTGGTCCAGCACACACGACATCCGAAACCGTGGCGTTGGTGTTCTTAAGCCACGTCATCAGCCACTTGGCACGGCAGTCACACTCAAAAGCATTGCCTCGCAGGTCCCTGCAGAAGAGAGGTACTCAGTTTCATTGCAGACAAACAAAGTAGCTAAAACATACATTAGAAGAAATGCATGGGACACAGGATTCATTTTTTAAACGGATTATGAAACTCACAGCTCTATCAGTGAGTCCAAGTCGTTGAAAACGTCCCGAGGTAATGCTTTAATGTTGTTGTTTGCCAAAGACCTGGAAAATACAGCCATTGATCAATACAGAAAATGTCACCTATTAAGAAAATCATAACTCCAATGCCAGAAAATGGAAAAACATGCATCCCATTTATAGACTTAAGGTACAAGTAACACTTTAATGACTGGAAACACTTTAGAAAAAACTAATATTCTTGATATATACTCAATATTAATGTTCAACGCTGTTACCCTTATTCTGAATAAAATGTGTATTATTAAGCATCACCTACAATGGTTCACAATGGATTCATATTAAAAAATGACTTTAGCGAATAAACATTACAGATGAGATGTCTTAACAATGTATGGGAATGATTTTAAGGGTTGGAACATACAAGTGTGTCAAGTCCCTGAGTCCTCTGAAGGAATATTTGGATGCAGTCTCCATCTTATTACTCTCAATGAACCTGAGGACAACAACAACAACACGTGTTAGTAATACGTTTATGGTATGGTAACACACTCAGCACATGTTTCTGAATGGATGTAGGAAATACATATCTGGTTCTGGTAAAATGTGTACAGTTTTAAACAAAATATATTATATTTGCTGAAAATATGTCTAAAAATGTTGGTTGTGGGCAAACAAGTTGAATATTCTTTAAACCAAATTAAATGAAACCACTAGAGGGCCTCATTTACTCTCAGAAAGAGCAACATCCACCCAGAAAACCTCATGTTTAAGATCACAATGTGCCATTTTAACTTAAAGCTAAATTAAGTAATTAAGTATAACACTCATGTTGTGTAGGCAATATGTTAAGCTATTACACTGATAATAAACACTGAAATAACTTACAGATACTCCAGATGTGAGAGGCCGGAGAACGCATCGTCCCGTACAGTTGTGAGAGAATTGGAATTCAAAAGCCTGTGGTGAATAATAGAAGATGCTGGCTGTCAACAAGAAGCACTGTTTTATATAGAGGATATTTCTACGATTTTTCTTTCAGTGATCAAAATACAGCATAATCATCCCAGCCTCATTCCAACACATGTCAAATCAAATGTGATAAGAGTAAAACAATTCAAGAAAAAACATCTATCCAAATCAACTGCATCCTCTATCAGACACAGGAGCAAACCACCATATTGTTCTGAAATAAAACTCCTATTTAACTCACCAAAAAGACAATCCCCTTGTGCAAATAGTCCATTTTAAAGGTGAGACCATACACGCAAAATCAGTGTTGTTGTTTTTATGCAGATAGGATTATGGACTTTAATTAAACGTCATCTTTCAGGCTCTAGTGCAAAGAAAATAGATTTAGAAGTTTATTTTCCTAACTTTGATTCAGTCAGAACATGATGCCTCATTTGCATATATAAATACAACAAATGTTTTGAAAAGACTAAATGAAATGCAATTAATAACCGCAATAGTTTAATGTTAGATCTATTAGTTGAGGTGGTTCCGTATACCTGTAGTGTCTTGAAATAAAATAGCAAACTTGCTGCACTCTCATCACAAAATCAATCTGGCTGTTAATCATCATGAGTGTTATGGCTTTGGTTAAACACTCTACATCTGCCACACCTTTGTTTCTGAATCACAGTCATCACTAGTGGAGTAACTGAAGACAGATGGCCTCCAAGTATGATACGACATGTGACTGCACTGAGAGCTTTAAAGGTGTCCAAACCTTTTAAATCCTTCCTGCTAATTGCTCTAAGATGCACCAAAGACACTTAATGCTTTACTGTGTCCGTATTAAAACCATGCACATCAGGAAGTCAGCTACTGGACATATCTTTGCTTCAAAAGTACCACACACTTGATCAATGAAAGCCAATATTATAGCGTATTGTTGCTGTTTATAAAGGGTTTTTTATGTGTATTGCAGCAAGTGGTGAATGAAATTAACGAAGTAAATGTACTCAAGAAATGTATTTCAGAATAGATTTAGACCATTTCCATGTAATGCTGCTTTATACTAGGCTACTATTTCAAAGGAAAATATTGTACTTGTTACTACTACTACTACTAGCCTATTACAACTTTTTACTTTTATTTATCAAAAAACATTAGTTACAATTTTTAAGATTTGATGTAAAACATATGCAATTACATATCATTAAAACACAAACAATTCTTAACATTTTCAGCATTGTGAGTAGTTTTACTCATGATACTTGGCTGATAATCTGACTTTTTTTAGGGGGGTATTTCCCCTGGCTGGTATGAGTACTTTTAGGATCTAAATACTGATTACATATTTACACTTTGACGTCTCTTCCACTGTTGAATTCTTCACATTGGTTTTGCAAGCCACCAATTTGTTGTTCAATCAATCAGTGTTCCTGCCCTAAAAAGGAGCCTTTGCTACGCTGTAAGGTAACTCCTAACATGCTATAACAGAGGAATAGTGTGCTGTTGCTCTTACAGTAGCTGGAGGGATGGCATGTGAGCAAACATCGCCTCTTTGACCTCAGAGAAAGTCCCATTGACGAGGCTCCTGTAAGGAAGGAGCAGAAACGATGAGCAAATCAAAATCATAGATGACTGCATTGCTTTTCCACAGCAGCTCTTATTAAGATGATGAACATCATACAGCTAGCGACAACTGGTATACTCTGCTTTACGCATGAAAACATCGAGCTACTCACAGGGAATTTACGTCGTTGGGGCTAATCCTGGGGACATTGGAGGACCCGACGCAGATTATGGACTCCCTGGAGCAGCTGCATGTTGAAGGACATCGGAAAGCCTTCTTTAAATGAGCCGGCTGCGATAGGAAGCAGAGCCAAACAGAAAATAATGTCCAGATCTTGAGAGTTGGCAACATCTTTCTTGCCGGGGTTGCATGTGTGGGGGTTTTCTGAGAGCGCGAAGAGCGTTTACACCCTGCACCATGAAATGCTGCACTGACTGCCTGACATCAGCAAATCAGCTGCAGCTCCTCCGCGTGCACTCTCATTATTTATTAAGGCTCAGCTCCCGTACGGTGACTGTGGGTTAAAACAGCCATGCAGAAGAACTTCATCTAGTGATCACCAAACATGGCTTTTGGGGGATATATGTTGCATTCATGGGCATAGTTTTATATCATGAGGCTGAGCAGATATATACTGCGTGGCTTGGAAAGACTTTAAAAACACATTTTAAATGACGTCAGGTTATCACGCGCGCACATTTTCGCATATTTCAAATATGAAAATCAAATGCGTCATATGAAGACTTATGAATTATTTCAGTCAGTGACATATTATTACTACTATTACTTTACATACTGTACAGTAATCCCCCCCCCCTCCAGAGAAGGACTGCAACACAATATGAATCTGCAGTCACACTGAAACTCAACACTTTCCATTTTTACTGCTAATCTAAAAAGGTATTTATCAAAATTAAAAAATATTGAA